ATATAACATTTTAGACACATTCTAGACAGTTTATCAGCTAAAAAAAGTTAATTTTGGGGTAAGTTACTCTTTAAAGCGGTCTGTGTGGGCTTCATCTGCTTCCTTTTATATCGGACTACAATAGTTGCTGCACAGTAAGAAACATGGTTTAATGGAACCTGTTGCATCTCTTCAACTTTTTCTTTTTCTTCTTTACTATAGTATTTTAAAAAGCCACTGGTGAAGCAGAAATTAAGAAACTAACATCCAGTTTTGTTTTCTACTGAAGTGGCAAAAAATGAAAAAGAAAAAAAACTTAGTGCATATTACATTTTTAATTTTAAGTTATAAAATACTGTGTAAAAAGTCAGGTGTCTGTTTGGCCTCATGGATTTAAACCATCAGAAGCTGACAGGATGTAGATCTAGTCAATAAACACAGGTTTCTCTATGTTTTTCATTATACTGCTCAGGATGTTATCTGTGAAACATTTTACTGATTTAGGATTAGGTTACAATGACATGAGCACAGAGATCCAACAACTGTTGTGTTGTTGATGAACTGAGTGATGAGTACAGCTGCTTACCTTCTCAAAATAGCTGCAACTTTTACTTCCTGATTTACTAGAACATCTGTTTCATTTGCAATTATCACCCATCCAGAACCCCACGACCCATCGGGGTTCTCTGAGGTCCACTGAGCCCAGATAAGGTGCRATAAAACAATTAATGACAGCAGGTGGTTGTTCTGCAGACAATGATTTACAGAYGATTTATTTTTAAGCTGCAGAGTGGCCAGAGAGAAAACCATAACTTTTACCTGCCTGGTGGTGTGTGAGGAGAACCAACATCAGGTGGTGTTTACGGCCTCAGCGGTCAGTCGGGTCTGACACAAGAACACAAACACACTCTGGACCCTGTCTTTTAGTTTACTGGTTTTAAAAYGACTGAAAATGAGATTCTGTGTTTTCTGATCTCTGTTCTGATTTTAAAACTTTGATCCTGGTGTGAAGAAATTTAGTGTTAGGTAGGTTAGTACTGATTTTAGAAGCACGACACTATATTCTTAAGTTTTCCTCTTTGAAATATTGACAGTGTTTAATCGATTATGTCTTGATTGAAATAGGTCTAGTTACATGTCCGAAACATTTTTTCAACACATAAATAACCACTTGAAATACATTAGATGAGAATTTTGTCTCAATGCCTGTGACTCAGCCGTAGGCCAGCAGGGGGCGACCGAAGGCATTGAAGAAGCTGTATAAAAACGTAAACTTAAGGTTTTATGTCCAGTGTGGGTTTCCTGTCTGCAGACAGCAGCAATAAAACTCCCCTCAGATTCCAGATTCTGGTGTTGTATGGTCTTCATTCCTCCTACAAATAACTYTATTTAACATCTGTGTTTATTATCTTGACTTCAGTTTATTGAATACAAATTTTCTTACACTGGCATGCCCTCATGTTTTGAACTCATCAGCTGCTTAACACTTGTATAGTGTTTTTTAATAAGGTTTTAAGATGTGCCACTGGTTTTATACTGAGGATATCACCTCTAACTTTTATCCTATGTCCAAATTCTTGGTGTTGCTATTTTTAGGACTGTGAGACTCRAACCAAAGTCTGAACCTTGTTTAAATGAAACCACTTGTTCTATCAGACTAGAGAGTAGAAAATCTAAACAAATGTGGGAAAAGATAAAGTGCAGGTGTGTGCAGGTATCCTGTTAAAGCTGAAACAGCAAAGTTTTTCAAATGATGTTTCACCTCGTTTCTTAAAGTTTTTGATTGTTTGGTTGAACAGACTTACCTTTTTAGCTGAAGCTCAATCAATCCGTCTCACTGAAACCACAGTCTGACTGCCTCACCGAGACAAAAGCCTGGGTGACTTTAATCTTTGTAAATTTTAATGAAGATAAAACTGTTGTTCTTAATTTTGGTGCAAACAGAAGCACTTTTCTGACAGATCTGGGATGCTTGATGCCTTTTGTAACATACTTGATTAAAGTAATTTCAAGTATTCCACTCATTTACATTTGAGAGGCATGATCTCCAACTCAGGTCAGAACAACAGAAATGGCAATGGAATTTACAAACAACAACAAATCTAAAAACTAAAGAAAACTTGATTTTTGTTTAATTTTTGCCAGGTAATGTTTCTGTTATTGATGGAGTTAAACCTTCATAATCTGTTCTTTAAGTTTCTTCCACAGAATGGAGTTCTGCTGCTTTTCAGTTCTGCAGATGAGAGGACTTTATTGGTTTTAGTTCAGCACAGGAAAACCCCTGAGACAAAAGTAGGAGGGACATTTGATGGTATTATTGAGAGTCTAAAGAGTTGTTAAACTGTGACGTTATTTTGAAAATTCCACTGCTTCATGTGAAATCTTACATGACATAATTTTATTGCTAAGAGATAAAGTTTTTATTTGTTCATTTTACAGATCAGAGTGTGGCCATTTGTCTCTGACTTTATGTCGATCTTATTATTTTTTTTATTTTCTACCATCCTGCAGCTCTGCCTCTCCACAGCCAGCGGACGTCTGGATTGGTGGAGAGCTAAATTGCTCTGTGTGAGCKCCGTCATGCCTCAACTCTCCTTCAGATAATGAAATGACAATTAATGGGAAAGCTGTTGCTGTCGCTCATTTGTTCCTTTGCAAGTAGAGCAGGAGGACGGAGGGAGTCCTGCAGTCCAGGCAAGAGACAGGAAGAGTCTAGCTCTTATTAAAGATTTTTTTTTTCCATTTTTAAGACTCAGTATTTGTTAACATTTGACCATTTTCACCAAACCTGGTCAGGAAGTTCTGCTTTTTACTGAGCCCTTCAAAGGTCATAGTAGGAAAAACATTTCTAATTCTAAAAGACCTGAGTGCCTTTCATCCTGCTCTGTTCTGTACATCTGCACCCCCCAACCCCCACCCCACCCCGGCAACAATGACAGAGATAAACTAAAATCAGAAGCTTTTAGACTGAAACAGTTTGAATATAGATTCATTTTTTTTAAGTCAAAAAGCCTAAACCATGAAAGTGTTTAAAGGTGGCTGGATTAGCTCTGAAGATTTGTAAGTCATGTATAAAGTTGTATACTTTATTAACCCAGTGACATTTTATCCAACACATTATTTACCATAGCTAGAGGCCTACACAGAATCAAAACACACAGAACTCTGAACAACTGAGTCTCTGACAGAATTACACTCAGAGCAAAGAGCAGAGCCCTGGGCATCATATACTATRTGCTGTGAGCTGGAATATTCAGCTAGGAAAAGGAAAAAAAAATAGATTGTATTTAGGTTTTAGCAGCAGTTGCTTACAGTGTGATCACAATAAAATGGAGACAATCAGTCAGGGGTTTGACTTTTTTTCCACACGAAATTAGTCCCATATAAAATAAACATCTAAAGCAAACTAGGGCTGCAACAATTAGTCAACATAATCTGCAACGTCAATAACTAATTTATTTCCTCTGCTTTTTTTTCTGCCCTCAAAACTGTAATACTGTAGTACAGCATGCTGCATGATAATAACCAACCATCTCATACCTGCCCATGTTGAGATGAAACACAGTTACTACTGCTAAAAAACTGGGAACAACAAAAATTATTTTGAAGCTTATAGAGTCAAGAACATGTCAATATTTTGCTGTATTTGTTGAACTTATGTGATTTTGTTGTGTTTTAGAAGAGGAACACTGTTCACCGTCTCCTGCTCCTCAAATCAAGGTCAGTGCAGAACTAAACTTAATGTTACTTAGCTAAACTTCAAYTTATGGATTTTAACTAACACCATCACAGAATCTAATTTAAAAACTCTAAAACTAAAACTGAAAAGTGTCATATTTAATTATTTATATATCAGATTGTTAAACGTTTGAACATGAGAAAAGGTTTAAAATATGAGATTGGTATTATTATTATTATTATTATTATTATTATTATTATTATTATTATTATTATTATTATTATTATAAATCTTTTAGGAAGGTTCAAGTCTGCATTGAGGTTGTCAAACCATTAAAACAGACTTTCTAATTCTACACACACACACAAAAATACAATTTAAAGTATTTTTTATTTCAGATTAAATACTTGCAAAAACATTTACATAAGTTATTTGTTCAGTTTTGATAGTGTTTTTATTTTTTCCTGAGTCTACAAACTATTAGTTTAATTGAAGGAAGAAGCTAAAAAATGACACAAACTTACATCATTTCTATGTTTGTGAGGGACATGATAAAACTGTGTAATCTGGTTAGCTAAGAATGTATTTGCATGGRTGATGAAGCTAAGCCTCAGAGTGTATTAGCAGCAGATCAGTTCTGTACAATGCAATCAAGGTGAGGAACAAACCAGCGTGCAGCACAGCTCACTGCTTACCTGATACTGGCTGGCTTTCGCCAGCTCCTGGTTGGCTGATTCCACGTTAGATGTTGTAGTCTGGATGTAATCTTCAATACTGTCTATGGACAGAAAAAAACAGTGGTTATCTGTATTATACCTSCACTTTATCTGTAATTTATCTGTGCAACACATGCACAATACCCATATATTATCTGTACAATAAATGGTAAATGGCTTGAACTTATAWAGCACCTTAAGTCCACGTGGACCCCAAGGCGCTTTACATTTCAGGCATTCACCCATGCACACACACACATTCACACACTGATGGCAGTAAGCTACAGCCACAGCTGCCCTGGGGCACACTGAGAGGTGAGGCTGCCATGCACCGGCGCCACCGGACCCTCTGACCACCATCAGTAGGCAAGGCGGGTGAAGTGTCTTGCTCAAARACACWACGAATGAAACGGCTGGACGGGGGATCAAGCCGGCGACCYTCCGGTTCCAGGACGACTCCCCTAACCACTCCGCCACATCCGCCCATACCTGTACATTACCTACACAGTACCTGTGTATGATCTGTACAATTACATGTACATTATCTGTACAATACCTGTATTGTACCACATCTTTTCAAATTAGCGTACAACTGTTAACTCAGATCTTCAAAATATGTCTGTTTTATTGTCCTCACTTCGATGTTTCTCCCCCACAACCCTATTGTTCAATTTG